AGTACCGGGAGCACAGGGAGTACGATGGGAGTACACGGAATACAACAGGAGTACATTGAATGTAATATGAAATGGGCTTAGTAATTATTGAAAAACAGACCTGAAGTTTTTGTGAAACACGATCTAAAAGGAGTGTTAACACGGGAAAAAAGCAGATTGGCCGAGCCCGAAATCCTATAGATCCTCTGGATTGCCATGGAATTCTCTGGATCCTCGATACGAATATTCCATTAACTGTAGTTAGGGTCCTAATCCTGAATTTGAATGTGTGTTTGTATACTTATTTGTTTCTCTACCGGATAGTACTTTGAACCTACCTCAGAGCAAAAGAAATTCTTAGAGCATCCTAGGTCCTCAACCCCTGTATGTTGGAGGTATTCCTAGGTCGTCAAGTCCTATATTTTGGAGATACCCTTAGGCCCTCAAGTCCTATTGTATAGGGGTACTCACAGATCCTCGCGGACTATTCTATGGAGGTACCTATAGGTCCTCAAGTCCTGCTATATAGGGTAATCATAGGTTCCCAAAGATATCCCATGTGATACCCTCAGGTAGTCAAGAGCCATCCTATGAAGGTACCAATATGTCCTCAAGGGCTACTCTATCGGGATGCCCATATGTCCTCAAGTCCTATTATATAGGATACCCTTAAGTCCTCAAGTCCTGTTATATAAGTGTAACGACAGAATAGCCCTTGAGGACCTATGGGTACCCTGCAGAGTAGTCCTTGGACACCTATGGATACCTTCATAGGATAGCCCTTGAGGGCTTACGGGTGCTCCATAGAATAACCATTGAGAACCTACAGGTACCCCTATAGGATAACTCTTGAGGACCTATGGGCACCCCGATATAATAGCTGTTGAGGACCTATGTGTATCCCCATTTAATAGCTCTTGAGGACCTATGTGTATCCCCATTCAATAGCTCTTGAGGACCTATGAGTGCCCTTATAGGATAGCTCTTGGGAACTTATAGGTACCCTATATGATAGCTCTTTGGGACCTATGCGTACTTCCATAAAATAGCTCTTGAGGACCTATGGGTACCCTAATAGGATAGCTCTCAAGGACCTATGGGCGCACCATATAATAGCTCTTGAGGATCTATAGGTATCATCATATAATAGCTCTTTAGGATCTATGGGTGTCAGCATATAATACCTCTTGAGGACCTATGAGTACCCTCATAGGATAGGCAGACGAATACCCAAGTACCCCTCCGAGAATAGGCAAATGAGCACCCAAGAAAACCCCAAAGATCGGTGTGAGAATCTCATTAGTGTCTCACCCCCAGTTCTTAAATGGAACTGGAGCATCCTTACTCTGGGTCGTTTGGATTCCCAATGTATTCTCTAGATTTCCGACATACCCTGTGTATCCTTCGTATTCCCATCATATCCTCTGGATTCCCACTGTATCCGGGATAAACGGAATCTGCTTTTAACCCTTGAGTGTTGAAGTACATAGGGGCAGCAATTAGGATCCTCATAGACCTTGACATACAAACGTCTGGAACAGTCTAGAAAGTTGCAGAATGGTTTAAGGACTGTTATGATATAGATACCGTTTCTCGCTGCTATAGAAGTCTACCATTGGCCATTAATCCCTTACTTCGTTTGTATAGAAACGTACTCGTAGACCTTTGATCTTTATTCTTTAATCTTTAGCCTTTGACCATTAACCTTTGACCTTTGAACCTAGTTGATAAGGTCTGTGTTGGAAAGGGAGAGGAATTTGGGCTGTGCACAGACCAAAGCAGACTCTATCTGCCGACCATCGCGGACCATAATAGACAGAGGCTACAGACCATCGCAGACCGTGACAGACAGAGGCTGCAGACGGCGGAGGAAACGGGGTATTGCTGTACTCCCGGAGTACATGGAGTACACGGAGTACAGGAAGTATGGAAGTACTCCGTTTACCCCTTGGTTTCTTTGAATTTTTCGAGTTTTCTCGCATTTCCTCAGGTTTTTTGTTTTATATTAGCATAATTTTAACCCAGTATGCCATATCTCATCATTCAAATCGCCTGTTTTTTCTTGAAGATTATCTCGCTGCTTTCTCTCACTTTCGGAGAACGGCTGGCAGAAAACTATATGTTTCAGGCCAGCTTGATGTCAATTAATAAATGAAAAGTTATCATAGGCTTTAATCAGCTGATTATTTCCTTCAAGCAGATATTATAGCCCCGATGGGTCAAAATGACCACTGTTTTCGCCATTTTCTTCAATATAGTAGGTCCCAGAGTTCCGCAGAACGATAAAAATCGGTCTCGCGTCCTCTGTCTCATCACATTTCACGCCTCACATTCTACTCTGCCCCGCGCTACTTTCCATTTTTCAGCCGCGTCCTGGCCTGTCTATTTTTCAAGAATTGTTTCGAACTGTTTTATTATCGTCACAGGATCTTTTCGATTAACAATGGTTGAGTTGGTTGTGTTTCCCATAGATGAAATGTTCTTGAAGAGGAGTTACGAAAAACTATTGTTTGTTAACTCAAAGGGATGGAAACAGTCTGGATGGGGCAAAGAAAAATCTAGTCCCATCCTGTTTCATCGCACTCCGTGTACTTCCAACCTTTCAGTCTTGTCCCCTCCTAGAAATGGACAAAATTGTATTTGTCCCGCGTTTCACAGAGTTCTGGTATGTCTAATCAAACTGAGACTTTTTATACAGATTCTATTCACCATTCGGAATACAAAATCATCCCGAAAAAACTGAAATATCAGGAGCTCTGTAAAAAACGATAGTTTGCAACTGTGACTAATGTTGTAAAATCTGATAAAAATCAAGGGGAAAAAGCGGGTTTGGGATTTTGGGATTATTTCAGATTTCGTTGGATTTTTTTGGATTTCTTTGGGTTTTTTGGATTCTCAGATTTTCTTGGGTATTCCGATTTTTCGGGCTGTTTTGAGTTTTTAAGGCTTTCCTCAGTTTTTTTGTTTGATATTAGATTAATTTCAACCTACCATCACCACTTCTTTTCATATGAGCTACCTCATAGCTTCCTACAGCTACTCAGGGGTATGTACTTGAAGCCTCTGAAGGTTTACCATGCGACCGAATCAATAGATCCTCAAGGGCTATCGTATGGAAGTACCCATCAGTCCGCATAGCCTATCCTACTGGGTACTCCTAATTTTTGATCACCCGTCGTATGGGGTACCCATTAATTTCCATGGCCTATCCTATAGTGATACGAATAAGTCTGTATGGTCTATCTTATGATAATATCCATAAGTCCTGATCCTCTATCCTATGGAGCACCCATAACTTCTCATGGTCTATCCTATAGGAAAATTCATAAGTCCTCATGGCTTATCCTATAGGGAGCCCATAAATCCCTATGGTCTATCCTATAATGGTGTCAATAAGTCCGTATGGGCTATCCTATAGAGGAACCCATAAGTTCTCATGGCCTATCCTATAGTAGTACCCATTAGTCCACATAGCCAATTGATGTTTGGTACAGTAAACTTTTCAAACGCTGTCTTGCAGTAGTTCTGTTTCCTCTTCAAGGGCTCTTTTCTTGAGGAATGTTGGGTGCAGCTAACTGTTCAAGAAATATCTAGCATTAGCCGTCGTAGGTTTTCAAGAGCTTTTAGACACAGGGCCCGTAACTGTTATACGGACGCCACTCGTCCGTCATCCACTATCTGAATTTTAATGTAGTATGAAATACAGGACATATGGTTACCTCCATAAGATAGCCCTTCTGGACTTATGGGTATCCAATAGGATAGGCGATAATGACTTATGAGTACGCCTATAAGATATGCGTTGAAGATTTATGAATACCCGCATAGGATAGTCCTTGAGGACTTATTGCGTTTCCGTAGGACAGGTCATGAGGATTTATGGGTACCCGTCATACGATAGGCCTTAAGGACTTCTGGATATTCTATAAGATAGGCGATCATGACTTATGAGTACACTCATAGGATTTTCCTAGAGCGCTGATGGGTAACCCATAATATAGGCATTGAGGACTTGTATGTACCTGCACAGGATAGATCTTGTGGAGTTACGGGTCCCCCATATAATAGGCGATGATAACTTATGAATACTCTCATAGAATAGGCATTGAGGATTTATGGTACTTCCATAGAATTCGTCATTAGAAGTTATGGGTTTCCTATAGGATGCATCGTTTTCCCGGAATTCCCATCGTGTTGCTTGGGTTTCAAAGATTCCCATTGTTCTTATAGGAATGTGGAATCTTGTAAATTCATCCCCTAGCCAAGAATCCCCTTACGAATCTCCGGGAACTCGCGACAGGGAGACCTCCAGGATTTACGAGGTAGTCAAGAACTTCCCGAGGATTTACGTGGGAGTCTCTAGAGATTTGCTAGGGAGTTCCTGGGGATTTGTCAGAAACTCCCCAGAAATACACCATGAAACTTACGACGATTGTAAACGATCGTACCGACGTTTTTATCATAATATTCACCCCCTAGTGGAATCTCATTATAAAGTCCCTTTGGAAGTCCCAGGAGAATGACGACAGGGACTCCTCCACGGATCGAGGCGAAGTGGGGATCCTCGACTAGGGACCTTTTCTCCTATGTGTAGCAGCCTTCAAAACTGGTTATCTATGTTCCACACACTTGAAAATATGATCAGAGTATATTGTTGAAGACTACTTTGTATTTTGGATTTTTTGAATTTTTTGAATTTTTTGAGATTTTTTGGGATTTTTCGAGATTTTTGGGATTTTTTTGGATTTTTTCGGATTTAAAATCCAAAAAAATCCGCTTTTTCCCCCTTGTTCAATCTTATCTTCTGATTTTGCTTTGATAATTTAGACCCAAAGTGTCAAGTATTAACATTCGCACCAGCTAATATTTACGAAACTTTAGCAAATCCTTCCTCAATCGCTGTTGGTGACTTTAACGGTGACAATAATATGGATCTTACTATCTCCAGTTTGAACGATAACAAACTTAGTGTATTTTTGGGCAACACCAATGGAACTTTTAGATCACAAACATTTTATTTAATGGATGATCTCGCCTATTTTGTCGCCGCTAATGATATGGACGGTGACAACCAAACTGATCTTATTATTGTTCACAATGAAAATAATAATGTCGGCCTAGCACCTGGCAATGGTGATGGGACTTTTCAGAATGAAATTTTATTTACTGCTTGTTCTAATTCATGGTTTGAAAATGTTAACGATTATCCATTATCAGTAGCTGTTGGTGATTTCAATAATGATAGTCGTCGAGATTTTGCCATCCCTTGCAAGTTTCTTCATCAAGTAACAGTGATTTTGACTGGTCCATGCATAAGTTTTCTATCTTCACAAGAATATACAACCGCTGATCAGCCGACATCGATAGCCGTTGCTGACTTTAATGAGGACAACATGACAGATATTGCTGTTACTAATTATTATAGCAATAGTGTGACAGTATTTTTGGCAACGGAAAGTGGAACTTTTGTATTAACAAATTCTTTTCCAACTATGCATAATCCAATTGGATTAGCTGTAGGAGATTTCAACGGCGACAAACTGGTAGATATCGTTACAGTTAGCTGCGAAAGTCTATCTATAAGTTTATTATTTGGTTATGGTAATGGATACTTTCAAAGACAAAAGAGCTATTCAACTATTGCTTGTTCATATTCGGTAGCTGTTGGTGATTTCAATGGTGACACTTATTTAGATATCGTTATTGAAAACAGGGATTCAGGTGTGAGTATTTATCTTGGTTATGGTAATGGAGATTTCGAAGCGCCAATGCATATATCCACGTCGAACTTTCCAAGGTTCGTCGCTGTAAATGATTTTAATAATGATGGTCGTTTGGATATCGCTACTGTACATTATGATGGATATCTCAATATTCTTATAAATGCATGTTAGTGTTTTTCAGCTCATTTAAGCTTTTTTCAAAATAAATGTTTTTTTTAAACCATTCGTTGCCTCTTGTCTATAATAGAAAGTAGAGATCTGCGGGACAAACTTTTTTATTGTCCCGTCCCAAATTTTTTCGAATTGTCCCGTAAAATCCCATTTGTCCCGTTAACTGACAGAAATATAGAAATATTGTTTTGTGAAAGATGACTACGTCTTTTCTATACTATCAATAGGTAACATGGATTCAAATAGATAATTATTAGACGAACTAGTTAGCTTTTTATTTATACAGTTGACAGCACAATATCGATCAAGAAATACCTGTTAGTCTAGGTCAAATTATTAATTTGCTGCTTACCAAATGAAATATTGAAACATTGATGAAAATTTAGTTGCTTGCAGCCGAAGTGTAAGAAAAAGAGAAGTTATTTTTTGGGATATAACTGGGGTTTAAGCACACTCTCATATCCATGTACACACTAATTGATGCACAGAATATGCTAATTAAAAGAGATGATGCAATTAACCCTTTGAGTGCCGGATTATTTTTATATAATAAAAATTTTTATAATTTCAAACTAACGCTTATTTCGCAAAAAATTAGGGAACAACCAATATTCATCACTAGGTACAGATCGTCTTAACCGTACAAATATTATAAACGCAAATATTCATGTAATTCATGTCATAAAATAATCAAACAATCATGCTTTCTGAAGTTATTCGGACCCTAAACTATCAGAACGCGAATTCGCGTCGCCGGTACTCAAAGGGTTAAGTTATAGTAGCAGTGAAAGATCTGATAAAAATAAATGGAAATGATCAACATTGAAAGCATCTGGAGATAGTTTTTCCTTCGTTTTTCTATTATGCTATTTATTTAAATATTAAAATATTTGTTAGAAATAACAAGCTTCAAATTTACGGCGCGTTTTGATATGTGAATTTAGGAAATTCGGGACATCGATTTTTTCTGAACAGTCCCGATCCCGAATGTCCCGTCCCGAAAAATTTTCGGGACCAACGGGATTTTTCGGGATTCGGGACTGTCCCGCAGTTCTTTAATAGAAAGTCCTGTTATCTATTTTCTTACAGAGTAAATCGTGTAAAGACGCATCCATGGCACATTTAGAGATAACCGATACTCAACTTCAATACGACAAGATTGGTTCCAAATACATAGATGTGAAACGATGGAATTATATTGAACCAGTCGAAAACTACATCGTTGATCATTGTCTACTTCGACCGTTTCTCGATGGGTGTGGGTGTGAGGTGTAGGGTGTGGGTGTGAGTGTGGGTGTGTGGGGTGGGTGTGTGTGGGGGGTGTGTGTGGGGTGTGTGTGTGGGGCGAGTGCGAGTGTGGGTGTGGTTGACAGCGAAAGAAACTGCTGCTACTCCGATACACCCACACCCACACCCACACCCACACCCCACACCCCACACCCACACCCACACCCACACCCTCATGTTGAGGCTTCACTTATATAGATAAAATTCGTTCAAAGTAAAATATGCCACTAGCCTAGTTATTAGTCACTGGTTAACTTGAATGGATATGACTGGCCACAAAATGCAGTTTCTAGAACAAAAGCAGTTGAACACAGGCTGAGGAGATTTTCGGGTCATTTGTGTCTGTTTCGAAAAACATTTATACATCTTTTTAAAAAATCATGTTCAGGTATCGTAGACGTACTACATAACGCACGTTTCCATTCGTGTTCGCTAAAATGTGAGGATGAGTATGAGCTATCACAATGCGTTTCGACTCGGCTAAGAGTCCTATCAAGTGGCTTGAATTCGGATACTTTTAAAACAAAGAGTAAAACCTATATATTTTTAGAACAATGAAATAAATCGAAAACAAAAAAAAAGTAACATATTGATGGTTTTAATGAATAATCATGCAACGATTCATTTGGTATACAGACAATTATGTTCTGAATAGAAAGAACAGTGAATATGACATTAGATAAAAGCATAAATATAAACGTATTTCGTTTGTTGCTTTGTTGTTGAAAAATATGTGAAGAAATATTTTTGGTAATTATGTGGGCTTTTTTGAAGCTAATCTTGGGTACTCTATGGTAGATTTCAGAAATAGAATTAGATGGAATATATAATCCCAGAATAAGAAAAGATAAATAATTAGTTTGAAGTTCACAAAACAGATAGTTAAAACCCTATTAAAAAAATAGTGATAAAAAAATCAACATAAGTTATTAAAATCAAATAAAAATAAGCTCACTTTTAAAATAATTTAAAATCATAATTGACACCGTTCTGAGTAATAAAAAAGTTAACATTTCCACATATATGTCAAACCTGAAAGTTGTATTGAACTGTTTAACTATTCATCCATTCAATTACTCCAAAAGACACTAGAGCATTTCTCATGCTGAGGATGAGGGTGTAATACAAACACAGGACATCTCTCTCAATGAGGATACCATGGAAAGACACACACAAGTCGTGTCTTTCATTGAGGGTGTACAGAATATTACCGTAGAAATTATCAGACACAGAATCCAATCCATGATGAACCGTTTAGAGACGAAAGAACACTGAGAAAACTGATGTGATCTCTTAAACAGACTGATCGATCGCATTACAGTTTGCTGAGTCGTGTTTGATTACGATAGTGGGTTATTGACAGTAGTAGAAATTGGAGATATTATTTTATTTTTGTTTTATAAAGTAATTAATTGAATAGTTGAATATTGTTACTTCAGTAATTGAATAGTTAAAAAAGTCTTCAATAATTGAATTGAACTGTCAAGTTTGCCACTACTGGAATATCAATGACTACGTTCAGGTTGTATTTCATCTAAAGATAATTTTTTTCAGTCTTGTCGATCGCCGCGAAAGTATCCATATCTTGATAAATGAAAGGATATGTATTTGTTGAGTAATGGATCGTTTCACATATCCTCACCAATGTCACATTAGATGTTAAACGACGAATGATGCTAATTGTCGCAGTCTAATCGAGAAGAAAATAGGTGATATCGATGATGATTTTTATGCATATAACACTTAAAAGTGATTCATGCGTCTCAATGCGAAAGGGTTGAGTGCGCAAGACCTGCCCATTTGTCGCGTTTTGACTGCAAAAATTTTGAGGAGATGATTAACAACTGTTTGCCAAACTTTTGCTCTTCCCACTTCTGAAACTTATCAAGAATTATGAATGTGATTAAGATCACAAGCGTTTGGGTTTGACTGAAAGCAAAGGAATTTCACGCGATTGAGGATTCAAATGCTTCAAAATACTTGAATTTTTCATACATCCAGCTTTTTCAGCTGTTTATGATGGTGTAAGCTTATTTAAGTCGCTTGGAAATTGTTTATACTGATACATATTTTCACGTGGACAACGAATATCAGATTACGTTATGACTGGATACCATACAATCGAGAAAAATAAGAAGAAAAATGTCTATTCGAAATAGTTAAAAAGAAGTCTTTATATTTCTTCCAAAATTCTTTGAGTTATAAAATAGTTTTTTACAATGTATTGACATTCACATATGCCGCATCTTTTATGTTTGTTAATTTGCATCATCCTGTCAGTAAATATCGGTGTTTAGTTCGATTTTGGCCCAATATTGCCAATCAACTAGATTCATTTGTGATCGATTATACATGAATAATAAATGTTACTCAAAGTTACTCCTTCTTCAAAGTATACATAGGTATTCGATGACTCGTTCGTATTCTCATTTAATACTGTCAAGAATGCTCCTGTCAAAAAAATAAATATGACGATATTCATCATGGATTGATTCTTTGTGCCACATATATTTGATATTACAGATGAACGGGAGTGTCGTTAATGGAATCGAGATATTCTCATTTGGTGTTGATATAGTTCTATTTAGCTCTACTCCTATTATGCTTCATACATTGCATATAAACAACAATGAATATTTCTTTGATTATGAATCAATTTAGCTAAAATTTTAATGAAAACGAAAAACATTGTATAACGTCTGAATCTCTGTTGATCAGACATGAAGTGAACAATCGGTTCCATTCGGCATCTATTTGTTTTGCTCATTTGGTACTTGATTGTTGTTATCAGAACATGTATCAAAAAGTGCTCCTTTTGTAAATGAAGCTTGGAATGCTGACGAAAAGATAACTGATTCTTCACAAATTTGTTGCCGAAAATGATATTAACAATTTTATATTTTGCAGTAGAAACACCTTAATTTAACTTCTCTGAATGTATACGCAAACTACCGAGAAAAGAATTCAAAGATTTGAAAAGAAAATTGTTGCATTTCAAGAATTGACATGGAACGACTGTGTCAATGATTATTGTCATCCAAAAAAATCGCTATACTTTTCTTTTTTTTTTCTATTTTCTACATATATATTCAATATTTTAAATTGTTATTTAGTCGCTCACATAATGCTGTAAGGCAATCAAATCTTGCCATGAATCGATCGATTCTTTTTAGAACGACAATCAAAAACAACAGATTTATTTCGTAAAACGAATCAACTTATCGATGAATAATAAATGACTTGTGCACACATTACCGATTCAGTTGTTCAAACGATCATTTATCTGAACGAGAACATGTGTTTTCATATGTAAGACAAACATTTTCCGTTATACTGTTCAAAGATTCTAATTGTCTTCGAATCTCATTGACTTGGTCGCAAAGAGTATTTACAAAAAAAGTTGTGTTGCTTTATAATGGTCTTAGGTTCACGTTTCTGCGTAGTTTCATTCATATAAACATACCTAAGTGGTATTTTACATCTCTGACCTTTAACTCTGACACACACAAACGCATTTTATTTCATGTGACACTTCCTATAGTCGAGGGAATATTTACGTCCGATGGGATGGAAAACTCCGTCCCATGAAACATTTATCAAAATATATACGTCCCATCTGTCCTATGAGATGGGAAGTTTTCATCCTATGGGAAACTCGAACATGTATAAATATCATTCACACGCCATAGACATATACACACATCCATATCAAGATTGTTGTAACGCTGTTAACACAGGTAAGCTTGAATATTATTTCCTTCTCGTATCTCTTATAATCAACATTCATCGTATTAGAATAAATAGTATAAAGAACCTTACTTAAGTTTGTAACGAATTCTGATGGAAGAGATATTAATCGTGGATGGGATATCTGTTATTTCTTCTAAAATCAGAAATTTCAATCTTTTCTAACACAACACATGTTTTTTATATATCTCTTTCGTTAAGAGAGAGAGAGAAAAGAATAAGAACAAACATATAACCGAGAGTATATCTAAGTTATGACAGTAAGAAGGATAACTCTAGAGAAAAGAACAAGAAGGCGAAGAAGGTTAAACATCAAATATTAACCATGAACTCAAAGAGATAATGAGAATATATAATAATGTACGATAATCTTACAATAAAACGTTACAAAGTCCAATACTTCAATATTAATATTTATCAGTACCTTCGATACTAATTAGAAATCTATTACATTCAAGGCATTTTGGAATTGCATTTAGGTTTGATCTAATAATTTTTGTCGAGATTTTGGTCTACCAGAATCGTTATCAAAAAAATCTTATAGATTAGTCTGGTGGTTTTATTATAAGGTTAAAACTAGATAATTGTGTGATGATGAGATGTCTCATTATTCAAAAATAACATAAAAAAACTTTTCCTTCTATTTCAAACAATATTTTTCAAAATATTATAATCAGCAGGAAAAAGTTTAGTAACATCAGTTTGAAACTATATTATTTGCTGAAAATTGAAAAATCCCATGGGATGCGGAACAAAATAAATATAATTCCTCATACTCTCGAAAATCGATATATTTTTTTAAAGATGAACAACATATTTTGATTTCCTATAATCCAATTTCAATGTCTCCTGTTTCTAAAATGTTTCAAATTTTAAAATCTTTGAGTTTTCACTATTATATCTGGATTCACAGATGCTTTAAAGGATTTTCCAGAGTTGTAACCGAATCGGCAGACTGGATCGATCCAGTTTAGTAGAAGATTCCTTACCGATCAGTCTGGATTGTTTCTAGTTTTTCCATCTTTCTTTCAAAAAAAATGATCATAAAAGTGATTTTCGTAAATCAAGCATTTTTCACTAAGGTCGAAAGCTATTCCTATCAGTGGACATGCATCAAAATACTCTCTAAAGTCAAAATTTATCGTAGTATACTTAGTCTATTTTATCAGTTCACTTTGATATCAAGTCGTGTTCTCGAAAACAATATCGAATAATTGTTTAATATTGTAGTTTACAATAGATTTTTTTCATATTTCATTGCTGTTGGTAGCATATATTATGCGTTAAAATAACTGCTAATCAAACAAACATACTATAGGAAACAACTTAATTATATAGTTAATTAATCATGCTCGTGTTTGATGAATAGTTAACTAGTGTTGAAAGTTAATATAGGATCGGTAGTTATATGACACTGTCTGTTCAATTTCAAGATACAAATAGAGTAAAACTTATGGAAATAAATGACAAAAATGCTATAAAAAAGACTCTTACGTCATGTCAGTAATAGTCAGGACACAGATTTATGATTAATCAAAGGATTGATTTGACTGTTATAAGGGCAGGAAAAAAAATTCTACTGATTACAACTTTGGAATTCTCTCACATGTTCTAATACCGATAATTTCCGAAAAATCCTGACGACTACAACTGATCTTTAGGAGAGTACTATCACTGGCAGTGAACGAAAACAACATCTAAATATCCAAAAACTTTTCGATATATCTTATTTTGTAGAGCTTAAGCAATTTCACGTTTTCATTATTGAGAGTCTAGCACCTTTTTTTTTTTTATAAATTTCTAGTAATGATTAAAATTGAATGTCTTTCTTTCTAATACAGATCTCTCATTTGTTAATCATTCAATATAAACAATGAAATTCTTAGTGATGATTCTTTTGGTTATGGTTATCAGCAATTTCACGTTGTCCAAGACAGATGATGATTGCGATTTCAACGGTATTATCGAAAAATATCGAAATAATGAAGAAATAACACGAATGAGCCTTGAGGAGCAACGCAATACGGTAATAGTCGAAATAAACAAGGCCACCAATGAACGTATTCCGGTGCTACAAGGCAAAAACAACTGTCAACTTCGCAAAATAGTGATTGACCTTGATGGTATTAATTAAGATACTAATCAAGAATAAACCGAAAAATTTATTTTGTATATTCGAGTCTGATGTGTAGCGGCATAAGCAGAATTTTTCTGGTGGTAGGACTCATAGGAACCCCATTTCTTCGAAACCATGGGATCAGCTATACCCTGATAGAGCTTACCGTCAGGAAGTCGAAATTTTTTTCAGAACAGCAGAGACTTTTTCCACTCTTACACTTTTGAATGAAAAATTGACTCTGTACTTTACAAAAACTATTTCAATTTGATACAGGAGACATATTTGACAAGCGATTGTTGACGACCCCGATTTCCGCTTGCGCTGACGATAGTTTTCGCCAAATGACATACGAGATATCGATCAACTGTGGAACCTTTACGCTGGAAATCTCAATTTACATGATGACAGCATAGAGAATGCAGACGACACTCATACAGGATGATATTTTATTCAAAATAGTATGGTAGCAGACGAATGTATGTTCGATATACCATGTGAAGTGGAAGAGGATTGTTTTCCACCTAAATTGAGATAGTTGAAAAAAGCAACTGAAAACAATGAAATGACATCATGTAGAGTAAATTACCGTAATGTGCTATTTTTTCAATAGCCTATGGGTCTATATCCTCCTAATCAAAATAAGTTGTACATCTTATATTTTCGACTATTCCTTCGTAGCATTGCCATTCGATCTCATATTTACGTCACAGATAGATCTTTGATTACTTGACTTACTGTGAAAATTTCAGTCTTATAGAATGAGAATTGATTTAGAAAAGTATAAATGTGTCTTATGTGCTCATGTGACATTTTTGTACTTTTCTCAATCAATTCTCATTCTATAAGGCTGAAATTTTCACAGTGAGTCAAATAATCAAAGATCTATCTGTGGTGTAAGTGTGAGGTCAAACGGCAATGCTACAGAGGAATAGTCGAAAAAATACGGTGTTGAATTTATTTTGATCAGGGAATATATAGAAGGAAAAACCACTGTAACAGTTATCTACTCGTCATTATTCAATAGTGCTAATAAGGTTGTGCAATATGAATTTCTGGCAAAATATACTAGTGTTGTAGACGATTAATGTTTGCAGAAATTTTCTGCAAAGGTAAACTTTGAGGTTCTCATGATATATCCTGTTGGAGTATCAGTTTTCCATTCCATAATGTTGCTGCTGTTAAAATGAAATTTTGTGATGTAGGTATTGATGATATTATTTCTGGTGGCAGGTATCAATTGATTCATGAAGCATCGAACAAGGCTCTGGATATCCATGGTGAAGGTACACATGATGGCACCAATGTTGAGATCTTTACCAATCACGGAGGCAAGAATCAACTCTGGGTTATCCATGAAAATCAAGATGGAACTGTTAAATTGATTAATCCACACAGTGGAAAGGCATTGGACGTGTTCGGAGGACAGACTTCAGATGGAACTAATGTCCAAATTTGGACAGACAATGAATCAAATGCACAAAGGTGGCGTCTGAAATCAGTCGGAGATGGAATATATAAGCTGATTCATGCGTTCTCTGGCAAGGCTCTAGATGTCACAGGTGGTGAAACATCCGATGGAACGAATGTTCAAATTTGGACAGAAAATTATTCGTGGGCTCAAAAATGGCGACTAATTCAGTGTAAGTAAATTTAGCACAATATTCGAGCTTTTCTTGTCAGAACTCGGAAAATGTGGGGGACAGAAGCGATTGACGTGGAAAATGAAGCTGAAAAAAAATTCGAGAGAAAAGACACTGAGATGGCTCCTCATCACATTATGTAATGATCTGCGAGAGCTTCGGACGAATTTCTATGCTACTCTAGCCTACTAACAAAGTTTTCATGTTGCAGATACTAATTTGCAGTAAAATGTAATATTATATTACGTAGATTAAGAGTAGCGTGCTAGTAACTGGAAATTCCGAATCGATTTTCGAAAAAATGATGCAATTCTTTTATAGAAACTGATGGAAAAAAATGCAAGCAATCATATCTATCGTTCTTTTCTTTCTTCTTATTAATAGTTCATGGAAGTGAAAAACCATTATTTCATGGCATGGATACAGTAGAAAAGAAAATATTTATGCTTATTAATAGTCATCGTCAAGAACATGGCTTACCATTACTTGAACCATCTGTTAATCTTGCTAATGTTGCTCATACACATGCTGTTGACGTTGTTGAAAATAGCCCGGATGTTAACGGTGGTAATCTGCATAGTTGGAGCAATAAAGGAAAATGGAGACCAGTTACATACACACCTGATCATAAATATGCTCATTTAATGTGGAGTAAACCATCTGAAATAAGTAATTATAAGGGTGCGGGTTATGAAATATCAATGGGGTATGGGCATAATGTAAGAAAAATAATGACAATGGATCCAAATGCAACTGTCGATGGTTGGAAAAGAAGTTCAGGACATAATGCTGTGATGATCCAACAAGGTGCGTTTAGCACTATGCAAATAAAAGTAATGGGTGCCGGTGTTTATAAAGGATATGCATGTGTATGGTTTGGTGAAGAACTGGATACATATCCAGCCCCTGCATAAATACTGTTACTTCATTCTAAATATGCATGTTTTCCAGTTAGTGTTCAAAGATGTTACTCTTTGACGCTAATCCTATATTATCAATTTTTCTTTTCTTTGACCTTTCTGATTCCTCGTTATAAACAGTGGTTCAAGACACGATTCCTTATTGAGAATCTTACAATTGTTGGAGAAGTTGAATAATTTTTGTCTGCTTCTTTAAGGTTCTTGGATGTGGGTGTGGGTGTGGGTGTGGGTGTGGGGTGTGGGTGTGGGTGTGGGTGTGGGTGGGTGTGTGGGTGTGGGTGGGGTGTGGGGTGTGGGGTGTGGGTGTGGGTGTGGGTCCGGGTGTGTGGGCGTGCGTGTAAACACTGATGTTGATATACTAAGAAAGACGGAGATCACACCCATACCCTACACCCCACACCCCACACCCCACACCCCACACCCAGACTCACACCCACATCCACACCCACAACCACACCCACACCCACACCCACGCCCTCACCCACACCCATACCCGCACCCACACCCTAAAGAACACAGTAGATTAAAAATGATTTTATTAAATAATCAAAATAGAATCATAATATATTAAAATATCACTAAAACCACTCAATCTGTCAATGTTTTTTGGTGCACACGTAGACACGATCACTATTCGGGATTTT